AATTCCCTTGGCCGGAAACAAGGAATCAAAGTTAGAGGAAATTAGGAGAAGAGGCATAAAGCCCGGTTTTGACTGTAGACGGAATTCCTCGGGGCTTCCTGAATGGTGAACCCCTCTTCTGCAGGTTCTGAAGCCGCCAGCATGACAGCGGAGTGAATTCGGGACAGCAGCTAATGTCTTGCAGAGCAGCCGCATAGCAGAATCTTCCATGCGGTGCTTGACACTTAAAGATTCTCAGACGTTGAGTTCTCATTTTAGTATCATTTCTTTCTCCTCTTTCCTTTTGGATATCAGGCATGTTTGGAGGGCCATTTCCAAAAGGCTGGGGGCTAGCCCTGTTGGTAGATAAACACTTGCAGCATTGTGCAATGGGACCTCAAGGTGCAAGGTGAGTGCTTGCCGCTGCATGTCCGCAGGAGGAAGAGACAAAAGTCCTTTATCCCGCCTTTGTGAGGTGGTGATACACAGGAGGATTAAGACTCGCAGTTCAAACAGTTAACACACGGCGAAGAATCTCAGCAAAGGTGCTCCTGGCCAATTTGCTTGTATCTTACAGGATTTGGCAGAATTCTCTGTCCCTCCTTGTTGGGGAATTCATGATCTAACTTGGATATAGCAAAGTAACACAGTACAGAGCTATTACGTGTACCATGATCATAAAGTCAGTGACTTTGCAGTTGAGACAAAAACATAGGTCTTCTGGCTCCAAGTTGAGATCGCATAGCCTTGGGTCGGACCTGAGCTAACCTTGTCTGAGTCAAAAGGATGTTCAATCAGAAATTCTCTACAGAAAGGAAAGAGATGAGGTTGGTGTCTCTATAACAATGGAGCAAAATGGCAGCCAGAGAAAGGTCCCAGGTCTTGGAAGAAAATAAATTCCTCCTGAGAAGTCAGCAGGTGGAGAAAAATTGCTGGGTTTCCCACAGTAAAGGAACGACGTCCCATGCTTCATCCTAGGCAGCCTCAGAGCCAGGAACCCAGAACTGGGGGCAGACCAATATACCCAAGTGTAACCTCTTTTTGGCTGTGGGAACTTTGGGAATTTAGTTGACCACTAATAGCATCTAGTTCCTGAATGTTTAAAGGGTGATAACAAAAAATATCAGTAAAACAACTTACAGGATTTTGAACAGAATAATTGTGTGTGTTTGTGTGTGTGTGTGTGTTAAGACTTGTTCATTCATTTGAAAGGCAGAGGGACACAGAGAAAGAGATACACAGAGGGAGAGGGAGGGAGGAAGGGAGGGAGGAAGAGAGAGAGAAAAAGAGAGAGAGAGGATCTTCCATCTGCTGGCTCACTCCTTCTCAAATGGCCAAAATAGCCAGGACTGGATCAGGGGGAAGCGGGGATCCAGGAAGATCACTTTGGTCTCCCCTGTGGGTGGCAGCAGCTCCAATGCTTACACTGTCTCCTGCTGTCTTCCCAGTTGCCTTAACAGGGGTGTGGATCAGAAGTAGAGCCGTGGGGACTGAAACCGTTGCTCCAGTGTGGGACACAGGCCTGCCAGCAGAGGTTTAACCTGCTGTGCAGGAGCACCCACCCCAGCGAGAGTGTTTTCAGCAGAGGACTAAGTAAGGTGACTTTTACAGGTAGCCTCCTGCAGCATGTCTCATATGGTGTCATCACCAACCCAATGTTAGTGACTGCCATTTCCATGGACTTTTCTCACTTGTGGTCTAGATCATGGAGTTTTATGATCAGGTGTAGTATCCATGTGATACCCCTAGCAGCAAGTAATAGAACATGCCTCAAAAGTAAGGAAACTTCGAGACTGGTTGATAGAGCGCTCTGGGAGACAGCAGGGGATGGTTCAGGTGCTTGGATCCCTGCCACCCATAGCGGGGACCCAGATGAAGTTCCCAGCTTCTGGCTTTGGCCTGGCCCAGGCCTGACTGTTGTGGGCATTTGGAGGTGAATCAGCAGATGGAGGATTCCGTCCCCCCTCCCCTCAGTGCACCCCACTGTCATTCCACCTTTCAAATAAATAAATTTTAAGAAATAATTTTTAAAAAGTACGTCTATAATGTCATCAAGAGCCCAAGTTTTGGGGCCAGTGTTGTGGCCTAACATTTGAAGCTGCCATCTGCAGTGCCAACATCCCGTAAGGCCAGTTCAAGTCCGGGCTGCTCTACTTTCCAATCTAGCTCCCTGCTAATGTGCCTGGGAGAACACTGGAAGATGTTACATATCCTTGGGCCCCTGCACCCAAGTAGGAAACCTGGATAAATCTCCTGGCTTTGCCCTGGCCTAGCCCTGGCAGTTGGGGAGTGAACCAGCAGATGGGAGATGTCTCTCCTTCTCTGACTTTCAAACAAATAAATTTGTTTTTGACAGGCAGAGTTAGACAGTGAGAGAGACAGATAAAGGTCTTCCTTCTGTTGGTTCACCCCCCAAATGGCCCCTACGGCTAGTGCTGTGCCGATCCGAAGCCAGGAGCCAGGTGCATCCTCCTGGCTTCCCACGCAGGTGCAGGGGCCCAAGCACTTGGGCCATCCTCCACTGCCCTCCCGGGCCACAGCAGAGAGCTGTACTGGAAGAGGAGCAACCGGGACTAGAACTGGCACCCATATGGGGTGCCAGCGCTGCAGGTGGAGGATTAGCCAAGTGAGCCACGGCGCCGGCCCCCAAACAAATAAATCTTAAAAAAGCCAAAGTTTTTCCAGTTGACTACTCTTCCTTTGTGGAACCCCTATATGTCCAGTGTTCCTGATGTATGGTACCTACAGTAGAATTCACATTTGGTAGGTAAAGAGAAATGTTTCTCCATATTATGAAAATTCTTCCTGTACAGCACAGGCAACCCAGACAAGCTCACCTCTCCTTATACAACAACTGTTGCTGGAGAGAAGCTGGGTTCTGGTAGATTTGGGCCTTGGTTCCAGCAGCACTGAAGTTGGGATTGTCAAGATCATCAGAGCCCACTTCTGGGGCTGAGCTCAGTCTTAGGTATGGAGCGTCAAAGCCAGTATCCCCTACTGGAAGTGAGTTCTGATGCTCATATCTGTATCCTTGGCCAAGTTCTGCAGCCTTGTTGAAAGTCAATTTTGTTATCTGCAACATGGGGGTGAAATAGCATGAACTCCTTCCTGTGCTTGGCAGACAATTGAGATACTGACATAAATTTGAAAGCAAAAGGCTCTGCAGAGTGTCTGGTATATGGTGAGTGCCCCCAAAATGTTAATTATTACTGATAGGATTATTTGTTTCATGTTAGAACTTTTTATATTATCTGCTTTCTGGCTAAAGTGGAAGTTTTCTGAGGCTATGGACAACACTGTGTTCATTTTTTTATCTTTAATTCTTGCATATAATCAATAGCCAGCTTATTTCTTTAACAAATAAGTAAATGAAAATCTGTTGAGTGATTGAAGGAAGGACAGAAACAGTGGGAGGTAATTTAAAAGAAAGTCAAATGATGTCTGGGTAGATTACAGGTCAGATAGGGTATGTGGAAAAAAAAGGGGTCTGGTTGAGAGAGAAGAGATTTAAGGAAAAATATCTCAGATACAGAGAAACACTTTTTCTGACATATAGAAATTTGCAGTAGCTGACCAAACCAAGTGCCATTTGAGGTCAGGGTCTGTAGCTCACAGAGCTATGATGTCTCAGATACTTTGCTTTATAATCTAATAAATAAAAAAAAATAGATACACCCAGGTGAATGCTTACTATGGTCTAGAGGAGGTAGATTTCTTCTTTCATTATTGTAATAATAAAAGCTGCTGCGTGCTGGGTGTGTTCCAGGCATTGTGCTAGGTGTTTCTGCCATACAGACTCACATGATCCTCACAACCTACCTGGGATACTATTCTCTTCATCCACATCACCATTTGTGGACCAGACCACCAAGCCCAGAGAAGCCAAGCAAGTTGCTGAAATCACACACAAAGTTAATAGAAAAACATGTGCACTCTGATACACAGCACCTGACGGCTTAGGCAGGTGGCTCCCTGCTACCCACATGGGAGACCCAAACGGAGTTCCAGGTTCATGTCTTTGAGCTGGCCCGACCCTGGCTGTTAAAGGTACTAGGGGAGAAAACCAGCGGATGAAAGGGCTCAGTCTCTCTCTCTCTCTCTCTCTCTCTCTCTCTCTCTCTCTCACATACACTTTTTGTTTCTCTCCCTCTTTGCCTTTAAAATAAATACGTTTTTAAAAAGTTAATATAAAAACTGAAATTTTTTCCCATCATTGGACTGCGCTGTATCTGTAACACAGTAGAAAGGTGCTCAGAGCAGCCAGACCGCATTCCCAGTCCACTGTGCACCCGGGACTGAACCGTGCTGACAGTCACGAGAAGCATCATAGGTCTCTGAGGTCACCGATAAGCAGAAGGCATGGCCCGCAGCTCACGGCATGTATGTGCCCTCTGGCCCTCGCTGGTGCTTTCATCATTCCCAGCATCTAACATAATGGCTGTAGGGAGTGCCAACTGGGCAAGCATTTGCTAACTGAACTGTTGTGCGGCTGGATAGATGCATGGGTGGATGGACACCAGTTATGTGATGTGCTCACCTTATTTTCATAGCAGACCTAGCTCTTCATACCTCCCCATTTAATACATCATCAGTATCTCCATCTACCCTGCTGCTTCTGTGATGAACACACAGGGGACTGGGAACTCCCATTCTTTCTAAAAGCTGTAGCCCCCAAGAATTAAGTTTTAGGAACTCGTGTGTGAAGCACAGGACAGATTTCGCATCCAGCTGTACAAATAAAGTGAAATCTTGAACAGTGAAGAAGTCTGATAGGACCTGTGCTGGGGATTTCTCTGCCCATTGTCATGATGTGGTCTCACTTTTGCCCAGAAAGATCTTCATTATTAAAAATAAAAACAAATCAGTACTCTCTGCTGCTTTTTCTGTATTCATCACTTGTCATCTAAGAGAAATGTATCAGAAGCTAATTTCATATTTAATAGACAATGGTGAAAGACCATTTGTTTATAAGTTGATCTCTTCAAAGGAGTGGTGTTTACCCTTACCAGAAATATCTTTAGCTTGCAGTCTCGGAAGGAACAAAATTGAAACTGCTTGAACGAGTTTCCTGGCTGGAGAAAAAACTAGAGGCTTTGGACCATAAGGAAACCAGTGGGGAGCCATATGAAAAAATAGTTCATTTGAAAGACCAGGTATGTTGGAGACAAAAATTTTGTCTTTATTTTAAATGTTACTTCATTTTACACAAACTGACAATTTCCCAAAGCCATTTTGGCTGGATTGAAAGTTCATCTTTACGTTCACAATGTTAAGTAATACTTACGTTTGCTGAAAATAACTGTATTTGTATATGAATATTGACATAGATACAAAAATGAACTCTGTTAGCAGTAGTTTTAAAGCTTGCTGTGTATCCTTTTGAATAATACGAGTAGAACCTCCTGTTCATTTTGTAAATGGCATAGACTGCAAATGTTGCCCAGTTGTCAAGGTTGAGTCATATCAAGGAATGATTTTATTCTGTGTCGTAAAACAAGTAGATCATAAACTTTGGCACCTGCTTTTAATTAATTGCTTTGTAAGAGATAAGTAATCTGTGAATCTCTGGACATTTGGGTGTGAATTGTTGTATAATGGATCCTCAAAAAATTCATGGAAATGGAAATTGAAGGATGTGTTTACTAGGATTTGCCTCATATAACTTCATCTGTTGTTCAAACTGCAAGCATTGTAACTGCCAATGAAATACACTCCTAGGTTTTTCCAAGGCAGTGCATAGATATGTCGTGCTAGCATTCATGCAGTCCACCAAGCTGGCATATTTTCATGTCCTTGTCCTGAACATGTTTGTGTGATTTGTCCCTGGGCTCTCCAGTGCCAGGAAGTTGGAGTGGGAACAGGAGGGGTGGCCTCTGGGATGCTGATTTGCGGAACATCCGAGATGAGGCTGCCCTTGACACAACTTGAGAGCTGGGACACATGTGTACCTGGAATCTTTTGCATTTGCCAGAGGGAGAGATGTACATTAAACTTTTCTGCTTTGCAGTGCATTGAGAAATTGCAGGCTGAGGTCACAGCATCCCAGGAACTGCTTGTAGCCCATGTAAGTGTTGTTCGTCTTTTCTAACCCTTACTTCATGGCCTTGTTACACTGGAACTGGGCCCTAAGTCATGCGCGTGGTTTGTTCACCTTAAACCAAATCACAAGACTACAAGTCAGTCATTGTATTGCCTCTACAGAGTCGCTTTGCATAAGTAAAATCCCAATTTTTGGTTATGATAAAATTTACAAAATGAGCTTTTGTATATAATCACATGATCTAATGTGGCTCTATCACAGTAGGAGAATTGGTAACACAGGTGGAAAGAAAAGGAAGCTAGGCTGGTGTAGTCAACAGATGGAGGTGGAGAGTTGTGACAATTGCTGACACGGGGTGCGGGTGGAAAGCTGTGCACATTAAAATCTCAGGTACATGAGAAAAGTTTCTTAAAGCAAAAAGCCCAGGGATTCCTGTCTTCCTGTGTGTGTGGGGGGGGGGGGGCTGACACTTTGTCTATCCCCAGGATCCAAGGTTCGGGTGCTGCTGATGCTGCCAGTCTTTGGGCAGCACTGTTTTATATATTCATTCTAACCCTGTTGGAATTTTTAGGCAAATGACTTTATAAATCAGAGTGTGTAATTTTGTTTGCTTTTGCAAGTTCTCCCCATGAATTCCTGGGGCAAATGGCATTTATACTTAAGCCTGTGTTTGCTCAAAAGATAACTGAGGCACATGTCCTGTCACAATACCCTGCACACTCATACTTATAGACCTGCCTCCCTGCACCTGCTGAGATTCAGAACAACCCTGATGTCGTAAAGCACTTTCCCTGGTCTCTGGTGTCCTCTGGTTAGTCACCTCCTCCATCCTGGCTGCTCCAGGATCACTTGTCTAGGGATGTCGGCCAGGCATGGTAAATGGCCGGTCCCAACAACACCAGGCTCCTGGGACAGATCAGAGACCCAGGGGCTGCCATCCTGCCCACCTGCAGAATAGAATGCAGTTTATTAAGTCCCTTCGGGGTTTGAAGTGAGCTCACCTGGAGAAAACCTTGGTAACTGTCCTATTTTTTGGTGCTGGAGAAAAGCAAAGCTGACCTGCCCTGGCAGTTCGCAGAGCTTTTAAATCAAAATTCAGAATCTTTTTTAGCCTTGAATAGCATTTGACCCAAACTGAAAATGACTGCCTTTGTGGAGCTGTGACAAATTCAAGGAGAAGTGAGTCCCATTAGCCCAGCATTATGTTGCAGATGCCTGACCCTATTGTTGTCCAAGGATGTCACACTCTTAACAGATTCCCACCGACAGCCCGGAAATCCTTAAAGAGAGCAGATGTGGTCACTAAAGTTCTGATATTGGCTTCACGAGAAAAAAGTTATCATTGTTGTAGGGAACTTCCTGAGGAGTCCTCTTCCACTGCCTGGTTTTTGGGGATCCTATTCCGTGCGGCTCCTATCCCCCACTTGTTTCTGCTGGGATTGCCCCCTCACATTACAGTATGAGTGAGATTTTTCACAGGGAACCGTCCACCACTCATGGTTCTATACAGCAGTGTGTTCATCAAGGTTATGCTTTAACTCATCGAGAACATTCTAAACGAAAACAGTTTTCTGGGACCGGCATTGTGGCATAGCAGGTAGAGTCCCCGCCTACAGTGCTGGCATCCTATATGAGCCAGTTCGAGTCCCAGCTGCTCCACTTCCAATCCAGCTCCCTGCTAATGCGCCTGAGAAAGCACCTGAAGATGGCCCGAGTGCTTTGGTTCCTGCACCCACATGGGAAATCTGAATGAAACTCCTGACTCCTGGCTGGCTTTGGCCTGACCCAGCCCTGGCCCTTGTGGACATTTGGAGAGTGAACTAGCAGATGGAAGATCTCTCCCTGTCTCTCCTTCTCTTTCTTTCTTTCTTTTTTTGACAGGCAGAGTGGACAGTGAGACAGACAGAGAGAAAGGTCTTCCTTTGCCATTGGTTCACCCTCCAATGGCCACCCGGCTGGCGCGCTGCGGCTGGCGCACCGCGCTGATCCGATGGCAGGAGCCAGGTGCTTCTCCTGGTCTCCCATGGGGTGCAGGGCCCAAGCACTTGGGCCATCCTCCACTGCACTCCCGGGCCACAGCAGAGAGCTGGCCTGGAAGAGGGGCAACCGGAACAGAATCCAGCACCCCGACCGGGACTAGAACCGGGTGTGCCGGCGCCTCAAGGTGGAGGATTAGCCTAGTGAGCCACGGCGCCGGCCTCTCCTTCTCTTTCTAACTCTGCCTTTCAAATAAATAAATACATCTTAAAAAAAAAAAAAAAAAACCAGCTTCAACAGCAGTGTTCATTGAAAGAGGATTGTATGACCTCTATGTGGAAGCTGCTTCAGGTACTGTCTATTTTGAATCTCAATCCAAGCCAATAAAAGGTGGCCATTATTTTTCAGATAAGAAAACAGGATCTTACAAAGGGTAAATCACTCATCACACTCTGAAACCCACGCTTTTGCTATCACAACTTGCTGCCTCTCCAAATTAGATTCTCCATCCACCTGCCATCTGAGGTATCAAGTGGTGTTTGTGCAGCCTCTGTCTCCAGCCCCCTCTCCTCTTTGTGTTCTCTCCTAGTGATCCATCAGTTCATAACACTTCAGTTTTCACTTCCATGCAAATAAACAACTGCTTTCACCCCCTACCAAGTTCCTTTTATCTTAATCATCCTCTAATTATAGCCCTGTAATGTTTTCGTGGGCATCTCTGAAAGCATTGTTCTTGGAGAAGGCATTCCATAGGATGCTAAAAGATACTCGGAGAAAAAAAAAAAAAAAGGAGATAGGGGTTGGAAGAAAATGGAGTTAAACATCACCTATTCCCTTCTCCTAATTCCTCTGTTTGCATTCCCTGATCATGCTGAGCAATACCATATGCCGTTTTTTATTCTCCATTCAGACTTCAAAGCAGTGGGAAAACCCTACCTCCTTTGGTCTCCATCCTGCATTTACTTAGTTGTCAGGCCCTCAGTATGTTTCTACAAATCATCTCAGCTCTGAGTCTTGTGTCCTGTTTTACTGCCATTTCCCTATATTTTTTAATCATCTTATGTTTTATTGGTTGTGGCTGGCACCGCATCCCTACCACAAGGGATGTCAGAGTCTCCCAGCAGTTCCACTGCCCATCAGGGAGTAGCCCACCTGTTCTGAACCCATGAATCCCTGTGTGCAGAGAAGAAGAGGGACAAAATCCACATGTAAAGATGTGGAGTGGCTATAGGAAACCAGACATCACGGAAGGATAGCACCCATAAGGAGAATGTGACCCAATAGAGTAGCAGAGAAGAGAAAGAGCACCAAGGGGGTGGCAATGGAACATTCTAGATGGGGTGTGAGTTTTCGGAAATGGGAGACTGAAGGATTTCCAAGGGGTCTGTGGATGCTGATGCTCAGGAAGTGACTGTTAATAGAGTTCCCGGCCGCCTGTAAGGTACCTGATCGCCCTTGGCATTGGAGAGACAAGTCTAAAGTTCAGAATCTTAGTCTGGACTGTGCCTCCTGAAGTGTAACTAACACCTATAGGACCTGACCAGTAGGAATCGCCTTGTTTCCCTGCCTCCGTCCAATGTGAGTCCCTACCCCTCTGGCCCTCTGCTCTCTCACCCCCTCTCCCTGCCTCACGCTGAGCCCCTGGGGAAATAGGGCCCCCTGGTGCTTTATGCCTCCAGGAGCCTTTGATGCCCTGTGACTTTGCGCACAGCGTCCTCTTGGTCTGGGACGTCTTTCCCTGTCCTCATCTTCTAGTGGCTCGTCCCCTCCTGGCAGGACTCGGGTCGGGGGTCAACTTCTCCCGCTGTCCTCAGATAACTTTCTCTGGATTCCCAAGGCCTCCTATACAGACATCAATTTGAGCTGTTAAAGGAAACACTTTCAACAACCTAAATTTAACAGAGTTTATTTGAGCAAAGAACAATACGTGAATCAGACAGCACTCAGAACAAGAAGTCCAGAGAGCTCTACCCAGCCACGTGAACAGTGAGCTTTTATAAGGCCAAACACGGAAGCCAAGTAGAAAAATCACCTGACCGGCTACAGCTCAGCATTTGCCTTTTCTAGGTGTGGAGGAATGAGACAGGTGACTTGTTTGAGCATGGTCTGATCAGTTGGCTCCCAGTGATTGGCTGAAACCCCAAAGTTTATTACAAAAAGTAGACTCCTAAGAGGGTTTTGGTTGTCTACATACCAAGTTAAGTTGTAGTTTGATGCATAGGGGCTCAAAGGACAGACAGGCTCAGGCCAATAGCCATTTGCTTCTTTAGTATAGCACAGGTCAATATACTACACTGTGTTGACATTACTTGTTTATACATCTGTCTGCCATTAGACTCTAAAGTCACTGAGAAATAGGTCAGGCAGGTGTCTCTGTTTTCAGTACACCAGTGGCAGGGCTGTGTTTACTGGAACCACTCACTGGCAGCTATGACATTCATATGTTTGCTCATTCATTTGTCCATTTATTCAAGGTATCAACTGAACACCTGCTATGTCAAGAACTGTGTGTGAAGAAGGCCAACTCCCAGATCTGGAGCTCAGCTAGTGCAGTAGAATAGAGGCCACAAGAGACACCCAAGACCTCCACACTAGAGGGAGGGGCCCCCCTGTCTGGGGAGCGGGAGAGGCTTGTCGCATTGGGTAGGCTGGCGGTAGAAGCTCGCAATGAATGGGTTCTAGAGAGGGAAGGCCCAGCCTGCAATGGAATGGATGCTTGAATTTGGAGGACTCCTCAGTGAATTTAACTTCCTGTACTGAGTACCCCGAAGTGTGCCATGCAGCTGCACCCTAGGAGCTTTGCTCATGGTCTTTCAACCTGGAATGCCTGTCCCTGCCATGGAGTTCGCTGCTTTGTCCCCATTCTTCATCAAGACGGTTTCTTCCAAGCATGGGCATCTCGTAGTTAAGATGTCTGTTAGGACACCTCCATTGCTTACTGGAGTTCTTGGTTTGAAACGGCACTGCACCAGCTTCCTGCCAATGCAGATCCTGTGAACGGAGGGCTGAAGTAGCTGAGTTTCTGACACCCACCTAGGAGATTTTGA